TGATGTGAACATCCTGCAATTCTCTGTGCCTCAATTCTCCTCACCTGGGTGTGGAAGCAAATAGAAGGATAGAAGGAGACTGTAACAACAAGATTGTAATTTGTTGAAAAAACAAAACCCTTGGTGCTTGCTATATTATCAAGTTGTCATTAAATACAGAAAACTGGTTCAAAGGAGCTATCAATGACAGGAGAAAACCACTGAGGAGTGAGGCAAAGAAAGAACAGTGAGGTTTTCATAAAACATAATAGACTTGTGAGAATTTTTTTAAAAAAAAATGTATTCAATTGATAATATTTAGCCTTCTACTCTTGCCCTTATTTCAGAAAATAAAAGGATAAACTACTGATACATAAAACAAGGAAAACCTCAAATCTATTTTGCTAGGTGACAAGTCAGACTCAAGGCTACAGCCTGCTTGACTAGGAAAAGCGCAAAAGACCAGCTGCTTATTAAAGCTGGGGATGGAAGAACTGACTACAGATGGGCATCAGAAACTTAGGGGGTGGGTATCTTGACTACTGTGGTTGTTACCTGACTATATGTTTGTCAAATCTCAGAGAAGTATCCCATTCAAAAGCTAAATTTTACTATAACAAATTATAACTCAGTTCAAAAAGGGTTAAGAAAATAAATCTGATGTCAGTTAAATTAAAATAACTTCCAACAACCAAGGATATAAACTAAGGTGACCAGACGTTGGCGGGACAGCCTTGATTTTTAACAATTTGTCCCGCAGCCCGGGGCGTTTTAAAAAAGTCCCAGTTTTTGGAAAGAATGCATGACAAGCTAGGGAACAGCGGGAGAATTGGAAGGGAATATACGGTTTTCAGCTGCTGAAAAGGTTAATGTAACTCCATTTGGGAATGGAGAGGTTAATGTAACTTCATTTGGAAATGAAAAGGCTAATAATGTAAACTCCCTAACTCCCCTCCTGGGCAAGGTATCAGAAGAGACTGGCTCCCTCCCTTGTGTCTAGGCAAGGACAATTAGCTCAGAAGGAGCCAAACTGTCTAGAACAAACAAGTGCCCCCACCCCCCAGTAAGGTGACCAGACGTCCGCTTTTGGTGGGACAATCCTGATTTTTAACAATTTGTCCCGATTTTTGGAAAGAATGCACAAGCTAGGGAACACAGGAGAACAGGAAGAGAACATATGGTTTTCGGCTGCCATGTGGCTATTTTGCCAGGATATCCATTTTATATTATTTTTGTTAATTTTATAATGTTAAACTTTAATAATAACAAATAATTGTTGAGAACTGATTATCGAGAACTGCTTATCAAAGTTTGCATTGTTGTCAGGCCTTGCCCCTGCCAATGGAGTCCCGCTTTACCAATGTTAAAATCTGGTCACCTTAATATAAACTCATCTTTAATCAGGCATTTTAACTTTTCTCTAACTATTAAACTGTAATAGGAAATCTCTAAAAACCATAATTAAAGCCAAATATAGATAAATGCTAACCTAACCACACTAACACAATTTTCAAAGTTTAAATAAAAACAAGGTCCTGTCTGTATATTTTGGACAGAAACTAGAAGTACTACAATGTCTACTTTAAAAACAAATTATTTCCCAACATTGAACAAACTGATAGCTTAGAAATTTTAGCTTTGAAACAAGGAAAAAAAATCATAAGAGAGGTAAGATCTCTGAGGACTTATGGGTTTTCTTCTTTGCATTTTTTTGTTTTAAACAGTATTTCATATTTCACTGAATGGTTATAGAGTTAACAGGAAGGCCATGTGTTCAAAGGAGTAAAAGACAACAGTCTGCCCTACTGACTGTAAACCATTTCCCAACCTCCAGCTGGCAGGAACTGATTTACTTAGAACACAGACTCCATTCAATAATAGGTAACATTTTATTTTGATATAGAAAACCATTATGGCTGTTGTTAATAACGAAGGAATCTAGGTGAAGTATGTATCACCAATGGAAAAAAGTCAAAACTTAAAAATTAGTCTTGTAAAGGTCAATAGCCCTTAAAACATCAGATTCCACAGACAAATAGAGATCTCTGTCCACTGTTAATAGACTATAACCTTTCCTATAGACCATTGCATCCACTACTATTTTATATAAAAAAAAAACTTGTGAGATAATGAGCAAAATAGTTAATGCAGGACTCAGGATTCAAAATTATAAAACACTGCTTGAATAACTGAAAATTTCAAAGAGGGATTTAAGAATCAACAAATCTGTATATATAATATAGTAAGGAATACAATGATAAGCCTATCTTAAATGAAACTTCCTAAAAATCAGATTAATTATATTTGTGGAGAGAATTTAAGAAAGCTTGATCATGGTCACAGTAAATTTTTAAAAGAGGGGAAATTTTATGACACACAAAATGTTTAAGTCAGAAAATAACATTTTTATCCATTTTACAATAAATAACAAACCTGACTGACTCTTCCATACCTTTAACATCCGGATCATCAATGTGGGGCTCTAGATTTTCTATCATTTCTTCAAGTTCCTTTCTGGTAGCCATGGTGATGTTGGGAGAACCTGGCATGGGGACTTCAGATGTTTTCTCTGGTCTCTCCGGGCTGAGTGCTTCCCCAGAGTCCTGTTCAAGCTCTATATCTAGATCTATTTCAGGAAGAGGAGTCCTCCAGAAATGGAAGGAGTTGTACAATTCCTGATCTAAGACTGCCGAGTCTTGTGAACTAGTGCCCATCTCGGGTTGTGATGTAGATTTGAAGTTTCCAGGTTCTTTATCATTCTCATTATTAGCTGCTTCCTGATTAGATTCTGAGGACATGGAACACAGTACAGAGCTGTCCACACCTGGACACTCCCTGGGTGTTTCAGCAGCATGGTCTTCCGCTGTGTCCTCCAGTTCAACAGTGGAATTACTAACACTGAGATCTGAAGGAACATCCTCTGGCCTGATTTGCACATCCTCTGGGACTTCTTGACCTCTGATCCTTTTGTTGTTTCATTTGAGGAGAGAAAAAAAAAAAAACATGAAAGTATAAAAATAATTGCTGACAAAAATAATGGGAGATATTAATACAGCATTTAGACAAGTTAAACACTAAACCTTATAGATTATCCATACAAATTGAGGTTTATATCTATTACTTATAGTGCTTCTTTTTCCACCTGTTGTTCTGTGTTCAGAGATGTAAAATACCTGTTAAGCATAACTCTAGATACTCAAGCAATATATATTAGTTGGAGAAGGTAACATTTAAGAATCCTGGGATAATCAGTAAAGCAAAATAGTAGGAAGGGAAATTCCTACAATGAATTTCAAGGTATATGTAATTGTTAAATTATTTCATTTCTAGGATTATTCATAATGCTACTCTGCTACAATGACAATAAAAATCTGAGAATTAAAGTTATTTGCTTACATTAAAAAAAAAGACAAAAAGAAAAAACTTTATACAATGGCAGAAAAGATACTTATTCACTATCTCACAAAATACACTAAAATCTGCTTATGTGGTAATAAAAGATTATCTTTATTTCTTCTACAATATTCATCTCTACTCTACTCCCAAAGGCTTTCCCAAAATGATATCATGGCTTAATGGGTAAAGACAGAAGGTACAAATTCCTAGTTAAAGTCTACTCATTCCCGTATCTATTACCTAAACTAAAGCACTACAGTAATTTTATTGTGTATCTCCTACACTTTGCCTGACTCAATTAAATTATTTATTTATTTTTAGAAAGAATGTCTCACTTTGTCACCCTTGGTAGAGTGCCGTGGTGTCACAGCTCAAACCAACCTCCAGCTCTTGGGCTTAGACAATTCTCTTGCCTCAGCCTCCCAAATAGCTGGGACTACAGGTACCCCCACAATGCCTGGCTATTTTTTGTTGCAGTTTGGCCAGGGCTGGGTTTGAACCCACCACCCTCAGTATACGGTGCTGGCACCCTACACGCTGAGCCACGGGCCCCGCCCTGACTCAATTAAATTTAACAAGCATTTATTGAGCACCTACTAAGAGCCAAGAAATGAAAATCAGTATTGAGGATTCAAATGTGAATGAGATGTGAATCTTGCTCTTGAATTACAGTAAGAGCCAAATAGGATAAACAAACATATAAGCAAATCACTGCCAGACAAGGTGTTAGTACACATGTATAGACCCAGGACACAGATGATGGGGATGAACCTGGAGATGAAAAGGCTTTAGAAGAAATAACATGAATTTTGTTTAGAATCAGTAAATGTGCATGAGGCTAAGGGGAAGAAAAATCATCCAAAGGAGAAACAGCATGTGCCAGGCAAGGGTGCCAGAGAGGTGTGATGTCTTTACAGCAGCTAAGAGAAGGGAATGATGACAGCAAGGATGAAAGACATCACAGGAAACAATGTATTCCACACTTGTAGACTTCTGGAATTTATCCCAAGCTACAGGAAATCATGTAGGAATTAAGAAAAAGGTATTATCAGATCTGCTTTTGTTTAAAGACCATTATGGAAGCAGCATTGGAAAAAAGCTGGAGGTAACGAAAGGAGGCAGGAATTCCAGATAAGCAGGTGAGAGATGATGTTCTGACGAAGGCAGTACCTTTGGGGCTACAGAAGAAGTAAACACTCAAATGGGAACAAAATCGATAGAACATTTGTACTCAATGCATGCTGGAAGTGAGACACAAAGGGAGGAACTGGGGAAGATCTATAGATTTCTGGCTAGGGCAACTGAAAGACTTCTGGTAACACCAACTAGAAGTGAAAAATACAGGCGGAGTTTAATGAGAAAGCTGATGAGTTCAGGTTCAGAAAGGGTGAGTCCAGGTATCTGCGTCAGATTCTATGAGGTGATATCTATGAGGACTCAGTCAAACACCAGGGAGAGGTGGAAACTGAGACATAGAAGTCATCAGCTTGGAAAGACTTGTGGGGCTAAAATGTGTGCAAGGCAGAAGCTATGAAGAAAAACATGACAGTCGCACAGAACAGAGAGCAAAGGCATTTTTCTTGTATGAAAGGATAATAAAGATGAGCATGTTTTTTGGGGGTTTTTTTCTGCAGACACAAGGCCCCCAAAACTGGGTTAAGATTCAGGAGTGTTCCTCTCCACAGAAATTTTAGCAAAAGGCAAGATTTATACCACCTAAAGAGAAACCAGAGTCTAAGATGAGCATATTTTTAGCCTGAGCACAGAGGTTAGAAGAGATGCAGGGAGGAGATTGGAAAGACTGATGGAACAGCTGATAAAGCCGCATCTCTCAGGGAAGACAGAAAAGAACCCAGGCTTCAAGATGACAGGGACGACTACGCAGGTGAGGAGGCACCTCTTAAACGAGGATGGATAAATATGTACATACATAAAAGGAAGGCCGCCCCCTTCAAACACTGTATTCCTTTAAATACACACAATAAACATTACTTAACAGGATGGCTCAATAGGACTGCACAAAAGGAGAGTGACGTTAACACCTATTCAACAGCTGCCACAGACCCAGCAATGCTCACCACAATACAACTCGCTGTTTTCAAAACCGTATTTTTACAAACATGATTTTTTAAATACAGATAAAAATATACACACACACACATATATATACACACACAAACATACATATAAATCATCTGAAAAACATATCACACAGCAATAGCATTTTAAATTCTGATGTTTCTCTTTCATTCTCATAACTATAAAATACATAGTATGTACATACAGCACAACTGTTTTACAACTGTGAAGACACTGGATTTCAAAATCTTAACCTAGAACTGGTATAACTAACTGAGTCTCTTAGGGACTTCTAAAATTCCTCATTTATTCCACAAAAATCAAGGATTAATGTAAATAACCTATACATCTACAAGATCTCTTCCCTTCCAAGGTGCTCTTGAGCTAGTGCTATTGTACAAAATACATATATCTTCTGTATGCGCAGGAATTAACATATTTCCCAATCACTTTGTCCTTATTTTAAATCATAGCATTTTATCGCCTTTTGTTACAAAGACTATTAGCAGGCTAACTGGTAAAAATGTGAATTAAGTCTACAGGTTAGGAAACAGTATTTTAACAATGTTAATTTCCTAGTTTTGGTGATTTGATTACAGTTATGTATGTTATGTCTTAGGAAATACACAGTAAAGGTTAAAAAATTCACATCCGAAACTTATTTTCAAAGAGAAAAAAAAAAGAATGAAGCAAATATGGTTAAATGTTAATACTTAGAGAATCTAGGTGACAGATATCTGAAGGATATATGAAATTCTTCCTGGTATTTTTATAATTTTTCTAACTTTAAAATAATTCAAACTAAATTCAAAAAATTATAATAAGATAGTGTTCAGCAAACAGGTAGACAGCATATGGGTAAAACCTAAAAGTCTCATCTACTATTTGACAAATTTAAGAAACTTTCATTTTAAATACATAAAATAAAACCTGATTAAAAGGTCACTCAGGCTTGGGTGCTGGCCACATACACTGGAGCTGGAGGGTTCAAATCCAGCCCAAGCATGCCAAACAACGACAACGACAACCCAAAAATAGCTGGGCATTGTGGTAGGCGCCTATAGTCCCAGCTACTTGGGAGACTGAAGCAAGAGAATCACTTAAGCTCAAGAGTTTGAGGTTACTGTGAGGTATGACATCATAGCACTCTACTGAGGGCAACATGGTGAGATTCTGTCTCAAAAAAATAAATGAATAAATAAAAGGTTAATCAGTATGTAAAATCCAGGGGCTTGAAGTTTCTTGACTACTATCTCACCTTAGCATTAAGATTAAATGTTAATATTCTTAGCTGCAAAAACAAAAGGACTGTCTCAACAAATGTAAACATACTAGTTTTCCAACTTAAAACTCTTAGTACAATTTTTAAGAGAAAACAAGGAGACACAAAAAAGTTTTCCCTAGTATAATATTAAATTCTGGGGGGAAATACTACAGGTATGGATTCAAAGTGTCAAAAGCATAAATTCTCAAATTCTTTCTAATTTTTTTTTTCTTTTTTGAGACAAGAGTCTCACTTTGTTGCCCCCGGGAGAGTGCTATGGTGTCACAGCTCACAGCAATCAGACTCCTGGGCTCAAGCAATTCCTTTGCCTTAGCCTCCTGAGTAGCTGGGACTACAGGCACCCGCCTCAACACTTGGCTTTTTTTAGAGGCAAGGGTCTTGCGCTAGCTCAGGCTGGTCTCAAACCTGTGAGCTCAGCTGATCTGCCCACCTCAGCCTTCCACAGTGCTGAGACTATAGGCGTGAGCCACCAGGCTTAAATTCTAACTTTACCTAGAGCTGGATAACAGTCAATGCAAACTCTAGCTGCTAAATGCCAAAATTCAGATATTCTCAATTGCCAAACTTCTAAATGCTACTATTATAGAAGACAAACATTGTTTTGAAAATTGAGGACCTTTGTGATTCTGCGTAATGGGAGAATTATCCTATCTCCTAAGAGATACAGCTATCAAGAGGACCAGAGGGTAGGCAAGAAACCTAAGATACTGTTCAGCAAGAGGGGGAGGAGCAAATGGCTAACACCTGTAAGGCCCCATCAACTACTGCCTCATAAATTTAAGAAACTTCCTTGATCTTAGCCAAAAGGCCTAATGTGCATGATACAAGAGTACATTTCAAAACTATTATGAAATGAGTATAACTGTGATGGATGTGTTACCTAGTTCAATGTAAACATTTCACGCTATATATCAAAAGCAGTACCCTGAACCCCAGAAATGCAGCAATGTAAAAGTTATGAGTTAATAAAAAATAATTAAAAATTAAAAAGAAACTTCCATTTAAAATATACAAAAGAGAACCTAATTAAAAAGAGCCCTAAGTGTCTTTTTGTACTTACATAAGTTTACAATTCATGTCCTTAGAGTTCCTGACTAGAGACAATGGACCTAGAAAATTAAGCATAAGTATTTCATGGAGAAAATGACTTGTGCAGCATCTGACTAACAAAGCACTGTTATCCTGAAATGAAAGCAAAGAAAATTCTTCAGGATACACCTTTCAAGTAATGTGAACTAATTATGTGAAATTTCAACATTAGTAAATGTTTGTGCTAATTTTATCAATTTTATTTTCACATAGTTAGCATTAAGCTAATCTGACAAAAAAATGGTTCAGTTCCATCAGGTTTTTGAAACCAAATCCGAATTTCCTGGGAATAATTCACTCAAGATGCATTATGCGCCAACTAAGTTCCAAGCCCATGAAGGTGTCAGCACAAAGACGAGAACTAGATCACTACAATGGATGGGTTTGGGATCAATGGGATTACACATAACTACACAATTTGAAAGACATGGTTGAATATCAGTGCTCTAATTCCAGTGTTATTACAAAGACAAAAGCTTTGAATTTCCTGAAAAAGTCAGGAAAGGATCCTGGAGGTATTGAGTTGAGTGTGGTTATAGTGCTGACCTTATCACTTTTTTAAATGAGGGTGTGGATGAGACATGGTGCCTCCTAGGGAGCAGCAAGCATCAAACCGGGGAGCACCACACACGGTAAGCACAGTGCATGCAGAAAACAGCCCCTGTTCCACTACACATAAGAGAATGCTTACTGTACGTACTTTTAAATGCCAGTTTAAATGTTTAATCCTGCTTCTGGAAGTAGCTTTTGTCAGCACTTTCAAAGAAGTATTAACAGCCTGATCCAAGGAAAGTAAAAGGTAAATCTCATACATATATAAAGTCAGATGTTCATAATCAATAAATGCTATGAGAGTATTAAAATGATAGTAAATGTTTCTAGGTCAGATGAAACACTAAGCAATAAATAAATAGTAGAAATATACTGCTAAAAACTTGCTTTCAATTTCTAAGATACTTGTTCAAGAAATGTTAATTCTAGGAAACTGAGAGGACCATAAGAACAGGAACCAAGTTCTATCTTTCCTGCTACAGTTTCTGGTTCATAGTAGGTGCTCAGTTAATTCTGGCATAATCAATCAGTCAATCAATCTTAAATAACACAACAGTGTTAGGAGTACTTAAAACAAAAGTCAGTATGTTGTTTAAGGAAAGCATTACAAACTAATGGTTCTGAGAATTATTAATACACAGGTCTAATTCTCCACAAAGCTAGGAAGTCAAACTATGCAAAAGCTTTTGCAATATTTAACATATTTCCTTCCCTAGACAGGAACTCTCTCTTCCATATCATTAACATAATTCAATAAAGTTTAATACAGTGATGATCCAATGCAACAAACAGCATCTACTTTGAAATTAAGACATACATCTCATTACAACGGGAGAATTAAAAACTAAACTACCTACAAACAGCTCTTCCAAGAATGCTATATACCAGTAGTCAGCAAACATAGCTTGGATAGCCACGTCAACTGTTTGTGTCGATAAAGCTTTTACGGGAACACAGCCAATCCCATTCATTTAAGTAATGTTGATGGCTGCTCACATGCTGCAAGGCAGAGTTGAGCACTTGTGACAGATAACGAAAATATTTACTACCTGCTCTTTCACAGGAAGTCTGCCAACCTCTGTCTTATATATTGTCTGTAAATGTCTACTTTCCCTTACTAGACCCTTTCCAAATTTAAAAATACAAGTTATATAACAATCTTCAGTACATTTAAATAGATACTTTAAAAAGTATGCTACTTCAAAAATGAAAAATAGACAATATCCCCCCATCCCCATCATCATTTTTGTAAAACTCCTTGCAGTAGTTCTGTCAAAAGAACTAACAGGCTTTGTTTGCTAGGAAGACAGGGTTGAGTGATTTTTCTTCCTTTACAAAAACAGTACCTCAGGTTTGTTTGGCTATTCAGCAGGACAGTAGGAGAACAGGCAAAAAGGTAAAACAAGGCAGCAGAGAAGAAAGGAAGAACTGCCAAATCAAAACACCAAGAAAGCAAATATCACAGTATCAAGACCTATAGAAGAAAATGTCCATTAGCATCATGACAAGGGAGGGACAAGACACTACGGCTACTCAAGCATTACAGTAGGGACTGTTTCAAAAACATGTACCAAAATCATTTCAAATGCTTAACTATAGAAGTTTGTGCACATTCCCATGTTCTAAGTTAAGCTTGACTCGGTTTTTCCCCAAAGCATATATTATAATGAATACTAAAAATTAAAATGCAATAGAAACTTGTTAAGGCAAATCTAAAAAAAAATGAGAGTT